TGGCACCCGGCTGGGTGCGTGATCTTGAGGTCATGGTTAGGTTTGAGTAGTCTCAGTCATAGAACAGTTCCGTTCTGGCCTTTAAAGATCTGCTAGTTCCAACCCTCCTCCACCAGACCAGGTTGCCCAAAGCCCCATCCCGCCTGGCCTTGAGCACTTGCAGGCGGGAAACATCCGCAGTCCCCTTGGGCAACTCGCTCCAGTGCCTCACCGCCATCACAGTAAAGATTTTCTTTCTTATATCCAATTTAAATGGCTTTGCTAAAATTAGTTCAGCCGATTCGGAGGTTCCTGAGGAGAACTGACAGCCATCAGACACATTAACTTCTCAAACTAACACTTTTTACACTCGTTTATTTAATTATGGGGGTCCTACAAGCCATTCCATGCTACTCACATACTTTTTTTCTGAGTGAAACAGCATGCTTCTGCAGTGTTTCCGTTTGTGTGGAAATAAACTAGCTATTGATATGCATTTTAACAGAGGAATGTTGCATATTCAAAAGCATTAGCATTCCCCAGAAAACGCTCTTCAGTTTTTTTTTTTTTTTTTTTTTTTTTTTCTCCCCTATAATTTCTATGACTTTAGAGTAATTTCAGGAAGTTTTAAAACTGCAGAATGATGTGGATATGACAGAGTACAGTCTGATTCTATTTTGAGACAGGATTTTTCTTCCCTGGAGCTATTGGTTGTTGGGTACTTAGTGAATTCTATTCTTAAGATGAAAAACAGATTTCTGAGAAAATCCTTCAGTTAAACATTTTTTTTTCCTACTGCTTGCTAAGGTGTTTTGATGTAGGTTGCAATAATGCTTAAAAGTGTGATATGAAAAACTAATTTCTCAGTTTTCAGAGCTACATCTTAATGTGAAACTTTGGCACACTTGCTAGAGGTGTAATTTGACTATACCATTCGTTATATAATTTTTTTTTTTAATTCAAGCAATAAATTATTATTGATGACAATGCAAAAAACAGTCTGTCAGGGTTGTTCTTTGTGCATATAAAATTGGAGTTGTTAGTTTGAAAGCTACTAATAACTTAATTTGCCTTAGCATGTGCCTGGCAATTGTACCACATAATTGTCTATACTTTCTCAGAAAGAATGAGGTCTTCAACTGTTTTCTCAGCTGAGATGGCAAGAAAGCTGTGTCACTTGCTTTAACAGTGTGAGTGACAGTTGCATACTAATTGTGTGTTTTGAGGCTTATGAACCTATGTACCAAGGTGAATTCTGATGGGCAGATCTTAAAAATCACAAATGATACATCTAGATATTCCTTATTAATAAACTGAGGCAGATTGTTAACCTTCATTATACTTTTCTTCCCATGTCACTCCAGTTGATTTTTGAACGTACTTTGGAGTAACTGTGCGTAAAAAAAAAAAAAAAAAAAAAAAAAAAAAAAACAAAAAAAAAAGTCGAATAGGAGAAGGAGACAAAGGCATATTGAAAATAAAGGGTTTGTTTTGTTTTGTTTTGTTTTTGGAAATAATAGGTTTATTCTAGCTGAATGTTCGTTTAAAATTTTTTTTCAGTCCAACGGGAATACATGGTGGCAAATATGGCTACAAGCCAGAGAGGAGAAAGATGAGATCCAGGCTAGGGTCTTGTTTTGAACTTCAGTATGGATGCCTATCTGCTGTGGAGTTCAAAACCAAAACTTTATGGCTCATTAATCTTGAATAAAGCTTATTCATCATGTTTCCTTGCATTAATTAATGGAAAGAAATAAATTAATTTCCTATTCAACTTGAAGCTAATCATGGCCTTTTTTTTAAGGTCTGTGTTATAACTATAGTATCTGTATTTTTTTTTTTTTAATTAATAACACTACATTAGTGAGTTTCTTCTAAAAGTGAGCTGTGTTATAGTTCAATTTAGTATCCTTCCTGTATACCGCTAAATAACCCTGATATATCTAACACAATAAAAATATATTCAGGTAGAAAATTCCAGGTTCATGAAACAGGAAGAAGCTTTGCTATGTTAAGGGTGCTATTAGGCAGCAAACCTTGAAGACTGACCTACTTAAAAAATCATAGTATATGCATTATCTCCCTTAGAGTTATTCTGCAGAGAAGTGTCGTTTGTGATTCGCTTAGGAGAGTAGGGAATGCAGTGAAACAGCCTACAAAACCATTGCATTTTCTGTTGACATCCTTCTGAAAACATTGGTAGCAGATATTCTACAAAATACATGTGTTTTGTTTTCATCTGCAATATTCAAGCCTAGAAGAGCAGCAGCATAATTCTCTTCTCTTGAGTAAAACTGATGTCAAACTACAGGTGGCGGTAACTGTTCACGTGGCATGGTGGTATCACTGAGTAGTAAATGTTTGTGGGTGTTAACAAATGGTTCTTTTATTACCTTGCCAAATAAGCAAAACCGTGTCTCTGTTACAGGTTTTGTTATTTTTATGGGATGGAGAAGAGTAAAGTCTGAAGCTTGTCCAGCAAGATTATATGTGGTTGAAGATGATGTTCAGTCTCCAGTGTTTATAGAATTCAGAAGCCGCATACTGGGTGTCATGAGTTTGTCCTCTCCAGCCAGCTGCACTGGCATGGAAGCAAAATGGTGAGCTCCACCTCTGTATTTTTAAGTCTAGTGTGGTTCCTGTTTTTGTGGTTTATTTCCCAGATCGCTGAAGTTACATAATTCAGACTCAGGAAGAAGCAGGTAGGGTGAGATACACACAAGCTGAGCCGTGTCCGTGTAGTCCTGGGGGGAAAGGTTTGCTTGCAGGTGTGCCTACCAGCCCTCCAACGTGCAGGAGGTCTCTCATGGCTTAGAGGTGGAGGCAGTTCCTGTCTGCACTCAGGAGCGCTGGCCTGCAGTCGCAGGGTGGTTTTCTGCGTTAGCTGGCTTGGCAGAGGTCGCTTCCAGGTCTTGCACGTGGTGCGTGTTTTTTATAACCCGCTACATGTTTGATCTTTGGCACAAATAAAGTAAGCTTTAGTGCATTGTGTTTACCATGGCCGTGGAGGCTATTTGTTGCTATTTAAAATCTGATTATACAGGCCTGCCAATTCTATAGGAACAGCAAAATTAATTGAAGATTAATTTTGGTTGGGAAACCAGGCTGCAGACTGCTTCTTTAGCTGGGGATGCAAAATTCCACTGCTAGGTAGTAAGTTAAACAGAATTTCTCTCTCATAGAATTATTCTACATTTTCTGCCAGATATGGAGGAAAGGCTAGTTGAAAAACTGTGTTTCTGCTATGTTCTGTGTTCACTGTAACTAGCTGATTTGTGAAGTGACTGTGTATTTAAAGTTTTTGAGTTACAAAAAATAATTTTGAAATGTAGGACTCAAAAGCTATTTCACTTGTTTATATGCTTTCTTGAAGAATCTTGAAGTATTACTAAAAATGGTGTCTTAGCTAAAAGCTGTAGTTGCTAAAGTATGTATTTGAGTTCAAAAACCTATGATCCATGCTTATTAATATATGACAGTGGAAGTGCAAAGCATTTTCTGAATTCCTGTTAGGCTGCAAATCATACATGCTGTGAAACTTACCCTGGATTTAGTGTGGTTTTGTCTTTGATTTAAACTTCTGAGAGCTTTATGCTTGTTCCACTTCTACTTGTAATATGAATGTTGAAGGAAGAATCTCCTACAATAGCTCGTATGAAGATTTCGTAAAGTACTGCATGTGCGGGTGATGCCTTGATTAAAGAAAACATTAGAGAAATAAGAATTCTTAAGGCCAATCTCGATTTTATTCAAAAATGTTTAAGGAGACAAAATAATGAAGTGGTTAACATAGCAGTATTCCATTTTTTTTTTTTTTTTTTTTAACTATCTCATTCAATTCGGTCTTATACTAAGAAGAAAAAAAGGGTTTTCTGGTTTATAATTTTAATTTTTCAGTGATGGTATTGAGTGTAGAAGATGTGCAGAAAATGCTATGTTTAAAAGGTGTTTAGTGCCTTTTCTCCTACTGCTCACTGTTACGCTGTTGTGACTTAATGCTCTTAGGCACACTTTTCATTTCTATAATGTCCCTAATGTACTATTACTTGTGATGTTTTGTAACTTGTGTTTTGTTTTTTTTTTTTTTGAGTGTTCCAGTTAAGCAGAACAGTTAATTGCATAGCTAAATTTTCCTCTGAGTAAGTTTTATTGTGTAGATATCTCCATTGTGCTCTTGTTTTTAACAAAGATAATTAATAGAGAGATTGGAAGGAACAGTTTTCTTGAAAGCTGATTGCCATACAAACCGATGTAATTTACTTAAATATTTAAAGGTTTGGGTTTTTTTTTAATTTACAAAAGGTACTCATTCCCTTGCTTGCATTCAAGTGTGCTCTCCATGCAATAAATATTAAGAATTATGAAATACCCATTCCATAGTCCGTTGTTTCTTTGCCCTAGTTCTCTCCAGTTTTCAGTCTTGGTTATGTCTGTCTCCCTAACCCATGCTTTGCTGGCTTGGGTGCTATCTGGCTTTTAGCTATCTTTAGTTGAGACTGATACTTCTTGCATCATCTCTGAGAAAGATGAGTTGCCTTTCTTTCATGCCAGAAAAATACAGGTCTCCTGAACCTATTAAATGGTGTCTGCAAACAAGATTTTAACAGTTTACAGCTGCTCCAGCTGCTCAGATGGCTCTTGCTCCCCACTTGATTTACCACTGTATCTTCTTGTTGCAGCAGCTAACAGTCACATAAAATTATGATACGTGATTTTACTTAGCTTGTTGCTGATCTTTTGCCCTTTGAGTCATGTTGGTTCCATTGAGTATGGCTCCCATAGTAACTGCTAAAAGCTAATAATAAGCCTGTGGCTTTCTTGCAGTACGTGCAGGTTTTAATGATCATTATCTCCTACATTTATTAGATATATAAAATGTGTTAAGTACATGGCACCCTGTGGAACAATTACTGATGACGTACAGTTATTCTGACCTCACAGATGACATCTGTCTTGTTTTTAAATGAAAATAGACAGTGTTTATTAAACTGTCGAATATTTATAGTCTGCAGCTAAAAAACCTGAAATTTCATCTTTTGTTACTAATAATGTTTTTAAAGGCAACGCTTAATCTAAGTTACTGTTCCCCTCATTGATGACATACATCTTTTTTTGCTAGCCAGCTTATATAAGAAAACATAGCTCATCAGGCAGAGTTCTCAGTTGTGGAAAATGTTAATGGTGCCTGTGCACAATCCTAGAGGTAAACTTGTAATTTTTTGTTTAGAGAAAACAAATAGTTAAATCTCAGTAGGCTGTCACATCTGCAATTAATACTTAAGGCTTCCTGTAGACAAAGGTAAGCTCTTTTAGTATTTTCAGTTCTGTATGAAATGATGCCAACTTTGTGGGTGATTTAATTGTGCTTTTTTACAGTATGTTTCATGTTTGGTGGTCTGGACAACTTTTTTTGGTTGTGTGGAACAAATAACTATTGCAGCTGGTCCTGCGTATCTAAACTAAGGTGAAAATGGTCTTGTGTAAAATAGTGAGAAAACCGATGTTTAACTCTTGAAATAGCTTAAAACTTGCCCTAACTTGAAATTGCAATAATTGCATTTAAGATCACTGAACTAGTTTAATTAAGTGTGTATTCTTATACTAATTTTTCACTCAGCATAGAAAAGCTTGTTTTGATTATTTTAATACTGGTTGTGGTGCTCAAGGGCTCCTGCTAACTGCCAAGTAGATTTTATTTTAACATAAATAGTGAAAGTGAAGATATCAGGTATTTTAGAAGATTAGACCTTTAATTTTTATTGTGTTTGTGATCAATTCCTTGTGCGTAGTTTAAATGTATATATCTTTGAAGAAAAACAAAATGTGGAAAAGTGATTTTTGTTCTACATATGTGCAATTGTTTCATGACAGGTGGTTTTGAGTCAGTAATCCATGCTGAAAAATGAGCAGGAGACAAAAACCTGCTGTTCACTTCAATTTTAGTGTTTAGAATGATGTTTTTTAAGCATCCTGAAAGTTTATTTGGTCAATAATAAAAGATAATGGAAAATAATAAAAACGATGTTATGCTTAAATCACTTTTAGGAAAACCAAAGCACAAACGTGTTTTAAGTTCCTGTTGCTACATCTGTCATATCTTGCACAGTAATCTGGTCTATATAACCCTTTTTTTCCAAGAGCACTATTATAGAGACTACTGCATGGCATAATTTTACTTAAGTGAACGTTTAGATCTTTGGGTTCACAATCTGATCATTGAATTATGGGAGCATTTAAACTTAAAAAAGAGTACTCATTTTTTTTGAAAACATTCATGTTTTGCAGCTTACATAATGCAAAGTGTGAGTCACTACAAAATAGCAACGAAGCAGAGTTGGACACTGAAGATCTGAGAAGGAAACTCTGTCAAGCTAACAAAGAAAAATTAGACTTAAGCATTAAACACAGTCAAGAAGTAAGGACTTTTTTGTTTGCTTTATTTTACTCTTGGAATGAATGTGATATTGTTTCTTTAAAATAATAGTCTAATGTGATCTATCAGAAGTGCAGTCATTAGCAGAAAAATAACAAGGAAGGGGAGGTACTGCACGGACCTCTTGTACCTGTTCATAGGAACTGTTGGCACCTCTGCTGGTGTTGTTTGTAGTTGAAAATGGACCAAGCAGAGATCAAGTTCTCTGCAGGGAAGAGAGCCACTGCCTCTATCAGTAGTCTATTACATAAAGTTGTCTGATGATACAAGTCAATAAAAGCCACAGCTTGATTCTAGCCTTATGAAAAAGCTTTTATTTAATTCTTATATGTATTTTTTTTTCTGCAGAGTGTTAAGAGTATGATTTTAAGTCTGCAGAAATAATTTGCACCTCATAAACCTAGTACTGTATTGTGTGCATACACCAAACCCAGCTGGGGTGTCCTTTAGTGGTCTTGCAGTGTCTCAGCTTGTGCAAATTTGCATTTTTAAAAACTATAACCATCTACAATGTACAAATGGTGGTGATCTGTTTGTCAGTAACTTCATACCTGTTAACGAGAACTTAATTCATAGAGGAATAGCTTGCCCACATTACAAAGGTTTTCCATGATGCTGTCATGGCAAACTAGTATTGAATTGAAGTAGTAGTAAGAAAATACTTAATATTTTCTTTAGCTTGAATATCAGCTTTCACACTAGTCTACATCATAAAAGGTGGGCACTGAAGTGGCAGTTGTCATCAGCTTTGAATTTGTTGCTACTAGAAAGACTCCCACACTTGCTAATGCCAATCTGGCAGCTGATACCCTGCTTTAAACTCAGCTGGTGCAGAAAGATTGTAACTACCATAGGTAACAATCCTGCTCTTAGCAATTCGCTAGGGGCTACATCTAGCCAATAAACCAAGTTTGCTGTTCCACATTCACCTGTTACTGGAGTGTGTACCCAAATGGAGAGATTTCTGCTTCTACCAGAATGACTTGCTCTTGTGCTGCAGTTAATCTATTATTTTCCCATTGCCCCATCAACTGTGGGGCGAGTCTGTAAAATGGATCTCTGGAATTACCTGGATTTAAAAATAAACCAAACTAACCCCCTCTTACACTGAGAATTTGAAAGCTGGAGGCATACAGGGATGTTCTGCATCATTTTTAGTGTTGTGATTTCAGCTACAAATTCAGGTTGCATTTTAAATAGGTAAGCTAATTGAGAAACTGTTTTTTTGTTTGTTTTGTTTTGTTTTTCCTTACTCATTTACTGTATAGTTACAGATAATGGAAGTGCTCAGGTTACCTACACGTAGAGTTACTGAAGTCAAAAGTCTGTTTTGTAGATGTTCTGAAAAAAATACATATTTTACTTTCTGCCTTCTTGTGTTGAAATAGCTTGAACTTGTTTTTCTGGACACAGTTTTTGGCAGCAATGACTAGAATATGTTTCTTAATCTAGATAAAATCAATTTTTGAAGCCTTTTCCATAGTTAGTTGTCTTAAATTAAATACTGTTTTGTTTGATTACTGAGCATTATTGAACTGTGTTTTATGTTCGTACGTATTCTGGTGAGTTATTAGATATCTGGTAGTCTAGCATCCCAGCGTGACTTTGTAAGTGTTAAATTTAAAGAAAGTTATCAGAAAATTGCCTGTAGAATCTAATGTTTCTGTTGCTGCAGTTTTTCCTTTGATGTGCAGGAAGATGACAGTGTTACTACTTTTATCTTCTCGAAATAGGGTATTTTTTGAAAAATGGAGGAGTATGTTTAAGTTACGTGAAATTCACATAGAAATCGGAATGGTTTGCATAAAAAACAGTGGAAGTTCTTAAAGTCTGCATAAATGTGCATTTGCAGAATTATATTTCAAATTCAGGTGGAATAAGAAGGCAGCTGTAAATGCAATTCAGTATATCTTTTAAAAGGAATCTCTAGGTGTATTTCTGTAACATCCTGTGCTTTTTCAAAGAAACATTGTTGCCAGTTTTCTGAAACAAACTTATTTTCTAGCTTTCCAACTATGAGAGCCAGATAGTGAAGTTACGCTCGGAAGTTGAGAAAGGGGAGGCTCTTCGACAAAGCTTGGAGTACGAACTGGCAATTGCCAGAAAAGATGCTCGTCTCAAAATTTATGCTGCAGAAGAGGAGTTAAGTGATGTGAAAACCAAACTTGTGAAACTGCAAGGTAAGTTTAAAAAAAATCAAGCATGGAGCAAAGGCTAAGTCAGTTCCAAGTCAGGAATACAAGTGAGGAGCAGTGACTTAATTATGTTATCTAGTTATTACTGTTTTTCTTATTGTTATTACTGGATCTCTGTTAGCTTTCCCATCTCTTTTCCCATCTCATCAAGTTTACAAAACTCTGTCTGTCTCATGTGTGAATTAAAACTAACCTGCTAAACTTATCAACCCATTTTCCTCTTGCCTCTTACCTTTGGTTGTTCCTTCTTTCACTGCTGTCTCTGCATCTTGGTTATCATTATGTCCAGCAGTTTTTCCTTTGCCATTTTAGGTAATTAAAAAAGAAAAAAGTCCATTCCTGTTCATTTTTTTCCCCCACTAATTTCAACAACCCGTTTCCAGAAGTTCTCATCATACTGCTTTTTTCTTTCATCTTTTCAAAGGTTTCAGGCTTCTCATTGCTCATGTTTGTATCTTTTCTTCTCATCATACTTGTCTATCATTTTATAGGTAATGGAACGTGTATGTTGTGAGAGCAGTATGCAGAAGGGAAGGTTTTTACTTAGACTATTTTTTTTCCCCTACTAGTTTTGTAATTCAGACACTCAGATTTCCTTGGTCCTCCTCAACAGAGAGATTTTTCTCAAAAGTAAATCAGGTGCATTTTTAATTACTGAAGTAAGTTGGTAATTTACCTTTTTAATTTAGTATGTGGAGATGCTTTTGTGAGTTTGCTGAACCTTTGATGTTTCATGAAGACTTTAGAGCACTCCTTGTGGAGATTTTGCCCTTCTATGAATGGGAGGAGGACTTGGAATGTTGCAAGTACTTAAAGTACTGGGTGGTGTTAAGATTATTAGATACTTGTGTTCTCCAAATGAATGAAAGGCTCATGAACAATAAACATTCTTATGGATTGCAAACTGGAAGAAGGAATTGTTTTTTTCCCCTTTGGAAATACGCTGTGATTGCAAACTGAAGACTTGAACTACTAGTCTCACTTAGAGGAAGGCTGTGTTGCTGTGCGTGCTTGCTCCTAGTGTGCTTGCCAATTTAGAAGTGAATTGTGTGTGTTTGTACCTTAAAATACTTTGTCTCACTTTGAGATTCACTTTATGATTTAGAAAACTCCCTGGCTGATAGGCTGTACACAGCTGGCAGGCATTGGTGGTGGCTGTGAGTCTGCAGGGCTACCTGAGTGGGAGGAAAGGTCTGGGTCTGCTCAGAGCTGCTTGTGGACAGCTCCACAATGGGCGAACCCACTTACCACCATGTGCCAAACTGCTTACCAGAAAGCACTTAGCACCTCTGTACAAATATGTTCCTCTAAGACTGGTAAATACCAAGAGGAAAAGAAACAACAGGAGAGACAGGAGAAGAGCAGCAGCCTGAGCAGATGCTGTGGCCGAAGTAGTGGCCTGCCCATGCAGGCACCAAGAGGCAGGGCTCAGAAGGGACTGTTGCTGACAGAGGAAAAACAGCCCAGAGACCTCAGTCTGCTGTTCTGCCTGTCACCTCCCTGAAGGCACTGGGCCGACGTAAGGGACTGGAGGACAAAAAGGGGGTAGGAGAGGTTTTGAGGAGGCAAGGGATGTGTTCTTAAGTGTGTATGTGTTAGTTTCTTTCAATGCCAGAATCAGTAATTAAAAGTCTGTTAGCTGCCAGTAAATTACATTGGTTGAAGTTCCTCAAAATGCTGTATTCTTTTCTGCAACAGATTCTGTATATCTTTTTAATGTGCCTCTTCTCTTCATTTTATCCTTCTCCCAGGGGGAGGAAGTTTTGCAAAACTGGCACAAACTGGAAATACAAATCTGTTAGAAAGTGGCAATCACTTAAATACCAACAACTGATACAAAGTACTTTCATCTGCCAGGCACTTTGTAAACCAAAGTTACTTGTCCAACTGCTTAAATAGGCATAGGCAGTGAAAATTTTGATGGCATTTAAGCTTTTGCATAGGAGTAAATACAATGTTGACCTATCTCAGGGTGTTTGCTGGGCTGAGGATTTAAACCTTTTGAGGAGCAGTAAATTTCCTTGGAAAAACTAAGCTAACTAAGCCTTTGCTCACCAGCTCAACTAGTCCCTTTCATGGGGCAGGTGCCTGTCTTGGCTGTCACTTAAACTGAGCTCAAAAATAATTGATACAGACTAATGTCTGTATCAAATAGACGGTTGGAAATAAGCTGGCCAGATGTTGTAGAAATTGGAAACTAAGTCCTACATGGTATAGAGACCTCACTTGAAAGAGTTCTCACAAGATTTTATGCTTTTAAAAAGCCAGAAGAGTTTTTAATTTATAAAATTCTCTAAATCTTTCCTGTGTCTTGTGTGAAAGATGCTGTAGGAGCAAAAAATTTGATTGTTTCTTTGCAGTGAAGGTGGTACTCTCTCGTGCTGGAAATGTTAAGGTTTCAGTGTTCCACAGGATATCATAATACATAGAAGAAAGGATAATCCTTATACTTTTTTTTCCAGAACATGTTTTACAGTGCTACTTGTCTTCTTTCTTTCCCTTTTTCTGTAAACAACAGTCTTGAATGGAGAACTTCAGCAGAAAGTGTCAGAGACTGAGAAAATGTTTCATATTGCTCAGCAGAAGTGGAAAGAACAGGAGCAAAGACTTGCAATTGAGAAGGATCATATGCGCAGAACTTGCAACAGTGAATATGAATTGCTTCTTAAAGAAAGAACCAAACTAGAAAGTGTTTTGCAGGTATGATGGACTAATAGTTGGAGAGTTGCATGAGGTGATGGCTGGAACTTTTTTAATGCAAAGTGTGTGGTGGGTTGGGATTTTTCTAGTTTAGGGAAGAAATCCCCCAGACAGCTAAATGCTGCAACGTGTTTCTGAAGAGTATAACTTTATAAAGTTAATGCTTATTGTATCACAGTCTTTCTTTGATGGAATGTGTTGTGGCTGATTTTCATGGTAGACAGCTAAAAAAAGTCACCAGTGCACAGTGGTAGTGAGGCCCATTTGCACCATTGTGCAAAGCTGAGTTAGTAAAATCAGGGGCACTCAACACACAGCTTATGATTCTGTTTCCCTCTTAGTTCCCTGAGTCTGACATCTAATAGCCTGTGAACATGAAAACAGTTTGTGTAATACAGAGACTATATGCTATCAGGGAACCCAAACAGGGACAATCCAGTTTCTGGCTCTGCGTTATAGATTATTCACTCCGTGCTACATATGAGAAGTGACCTGTTGGAAATTCTGTTTGATTTGAAAAAAACTCCTTGTAATACTAAGAGGAGGCCTTTATAACCTGTTGTAGATGGTGGGGTTTTATTCTTCAGGTAATTGGTTTCATAGTTTTTCACGAAGGCGGTAGTTTTCAAAGTTGAGCTGCACTAGAGTGCATAAATCCCTTAGATATTAAATGTGTAACAAAATAATAAAAATATGAAATTTTAATACTTTTTTTTTATGCAGTCAAGCTATCCAAAATGTAATTATGTTTCAAAGAAATTTAGTAGTAATGTGGTGTGAAAGTGCTGAGTTAACATGCCCACCTTTCACCTGTTTCACAGGGCCACAAATAATTACACAACTATAATGTACTAATTTTAATCTTTTTAATTGAAAATTTCCTTGTATCTCAGCAATCTGATAATACCACCCGAGGAAAATCAGAATGTATTCCACTATTGTTATCCTTTATGCTTTTAGAAGAGCACAGTGCAGAGGCTTTATTAAGGCAGGTAGCCTCTTACTTGTGCATGAGGTTCCCCTACTGAGAGGTTCCCTTTCTATTATTTAGCAAGACTTTTTTTTTTTTTAATATTTCTATTTTCTTCCCTTATAACTCCCTCTGAGATGTGACAGACTAGCCTCAGTTGGTCTGGGCACTGGTCAAGCAGCAGAAGATTACCCAGCTTTCTTCCTGCCTGGTCAGCTCCAAGCCTGGGACAGTGCCCAGTAGTCTTTCCAGGTGACATAAATCAGTCCTTACCTGGCTGTAGTACAGCCAACCTGCCTGCTGTACTACATGATAGTGCTGTTGGTCAGATTCTATATGTTTATCTGTTGGAGCAGCTCTTAAAACAGGGCAGAGAGAATCCCTGAATTATGTCTATTCCAGAATTTTGGTCTTAATATGTACCTAGTGATGAGATTCTAAGCACATACGCAAGTCCTGGTTGGAAAAGCTGCGCTTCATGAACTTGAACTGTAATTCTGAACTTGGCTGTGAAAATGCTGAGGTAGGCATGGAAATGAAGTCTGCTTAACCTATCAAAATGTGTCTCCAAGATACAGAGGGAAAGTAATCCTCTCTGCTTTCTAACAGATTGGTAGTGTGCTCTATTGGGTGTGCTTAGCACGCTACCTGCTTCATAATGAAGGATGCTGGAGTTCAATGGTAAGTGCAATAGCATCATCTTGTGGTTAGTCAGAATATAATATTCCTTCACGGAAGCACTCCGATTGTCCTTGGACTACTTGTGAAGTCGTGTTGCTTATACACACTTTTTTTAAAAAAAAAAATCAGCCATGTTTTTCATAAGCAGATCCTTACAGTGTGTGTATGACATACAAGTATGTGTGTGTGTGTGTATATATATATGTTTGGCTTTTTTTCACATTGTGAAGTATGTTACTCTTTGAACCTTCTCAGTGCAGGTGACTGCTGGGATAGTCTTGCACGGTTTCAAAACCAAGTCTGAAAAGTTCAGAGACTTCTTTAAAATTCTGAAATCCTACAACTCACGCTGACTTGTGTAATAAGCTGGGTCTATTTATGTCAGTCTTACTCTGATTCATGTTAATTACGTTTCCAGTGTAAAGTTTTTTTTATTTTAAGTCTTGATGTAGTGTTTTCCAGCAAACTGTGTCATACTTGTTTCATGTGAACTTTTCCCATCTCACTTTTGTTACTATCTGGAAGACATACCTGAAGAGATAAATATCTCTGTATCTTTCCAGTGTGGAGAGTGTGGGAATAGCTGTATATTTCTATAAAAATGCTTAAAAATCATGCATTGGCTTAATATTACAGGCGAAGTTAGAGGATTAGCTTGAATTTAGTCCATACCCAGGTATGCTATTTTTGCAATATTTTGATTTACTGAGATGACCTTTTTTTTCTTCACATACATTTCACATGCATGCTCCTTTTTATCTTTTCAGAGGATGCCAAAAAATTGTGCCATAGTGCCTGCACATGAAAGAAGAAAGAAAATGAACTTTTTTTTTCAGTTACTAATTCGTAACACCTGGCACTATAGAAGAGCTATGATTCCCTGTCATGCTTGAATGAGCAAAACTTTCTACCTTCAATCTGGAGGAACTTCAAAACTTTGAAAAAGACACATGACAATCAAAGAAATATGAATAGTCATCCTTCTGTCAGACTTCAATCTTCCAAAGAAGCATTCTATATGAATAATTAATTTTCTTCTCCTCTCTGCTCTGCCCATGCCTTACGATTAGTAATTTCTAGGAACAAAGTTGTGATGTAAGAGTAATAGCAGAATTTGCAGACCAAGTGTTTTCACAAAATGTCTCTTGCTATCATGTTGAATAGGAGTAAATGAACAGGGGGACGTATTGTAATCTTCCTGTGTTTTTCACAGAGCGTCATTTTAAAAAATTGGGTCTCCAAAGGTCCTCCAGCTAAATCACTGGATTTATAGCTTGTTTCAGATGCTAGTTACGGAAAAGTTTATTCCTGTCCACTAGACCAAAGCTATTCTTTCCCAGACTTCTGGGATCTCCAGCTTAAGTATGCACTAGACTACTGGGGGTTCATTATTTGGCTACTTTCCTCCAAGCCTGGTGTGATGTGAATGTGGATTTTGTAGCAGTGACTCCACAGAGCTGCTGAGTCCAGTAGAGTTAGTAATTATCCCAGACTGTAGCTTGATTCAACTTCTGAATGCATAAATTGAAGTGGGAAACAGTTTGATTATCTTATTCTGCTGAGAACTTCATGTGGATGATTCTTTAAGAGTAATTCAGTTTCTAGACAGAAGAAAATCTTTCTCAGAATAGTGGAAATGAGGATTATTTTAGTCTATGAGAATGACTGTTTCTAAAAATAACTCATCTGATTTCAAGTTCTAACAATTAAAAAGAGCAAAATAGAACTTCTGTCCCTGTGTATTGTTTTGTCAAATGCATTTAACTGTTTCTGTCACAGCCATTGAGTTGGTAGAGAAGACATTGGGCAAGCAGCCTTCTATGGTGTAGAGTAAGATTTCTTGTGGGGATTTGGCTCTGATTTTAGTGTTAGTGCAGAACATCATGTTCATAGTGATTTTTGATCCAACACAGTTTACCTGGAGGTGAACGAAGAGCATGTCTGCTGTTGGGTAGATGGCCAACAGCAGACCTTGAGCAACCAAGAGGCCTTGAGCAACCTGGTCTAGTTGAGAGGTGTCCCTGCCCATGGCAGGGAGGTTGGATTAGGTGATCTCTGGCTTCCCTTTCAACCTAAGCCGTTCTGTGATTCTATGATTCTGTTGACTTATGTGAACTTTTCAGATTTTAAGAACCTGTTGTAATGGAGTCTCCATTCACAAAGTGTTCCTCTTTTGAACTCTTGGCTATAATACTTTATCTTAATGAAAGCATCCCTTAATGCTCTTTTTTTTTTTTTTTTTCTTTTCTAGGAGCAGAATAATGAACTGCAGAAGATACACAAGAAAATGGAAGATATGGAGGTGGAACACCACGGCTGCACGGAGCTGCTGAGATGCCAGGCCAGTGAACTTGAATACAGCACTGAACGAGAGGAGCGACTTAGAAAAGAACTTGAAGTAAGGCACTATTGGTCTCAGCAAGCACCGGCACTCTCAGCAATTTCATGTTTGAAGGATGGAACCTCCCACTTAGGCCATGAATTCTATGTACTGGATTAACAAAATGTTAAACATCTGCTTTGCAGAAAAGGCTGAACAGGTGAATGCTGCTTGCACTGTGTGCCTGACTTGAGACTGGTGTTGGAGCAGCAGATGGGAAAAGCTTTATGTAAGCGTGAAAACAAGGATAACTAGGAAATCTTTATATTTTCCCTAACTGCTTAATTTCATAGGATTGTAGAATCATAGTATGTCAGGTCAGAAGGGACCTCAAGGATCGTCTATCTGGTCCAGCTTTTCTGGGTGAAAACACAGTCTAAACAGAATGGGCTAGCACTCTGTGCTGCTGAATCTTAAAAGTGTCCAGTGTTGGGGAATCCACCACTTCCCTGGGGACATTTTTCCAATAGCTGATTGTTCTCACGATGAAAAATTTTCCTCGTCTCCAACTGGAATCTCCCCAGGTGTAACTTGTACCCATTTCCCCTGTCTTTTCCATGGGACTCCCTGTAGACAGAGAGTCGCCTTTTTCTTTGTAGCCAACCTTTAAATACTGGAACATGTTGATAAGGTCTCCCCTAAGTCACCTTTTCTCCAGGCTGAACAAACCCAGTTCTCTCACTATTTCCTCATATGGCAGCTTCCCAATCCTTTGGTCATCTCTGTGGCAGTTCTCTGGACTGTTTCCAACCTGTCCACATCTTTTTGTGTATCAGGGACTAAAACTGAACACATACTCCAGGTGTGGCCTGACAGCTGATGAGTAGAGTGGGACAATGACTTCTTTAACTTTATCTGGTGATGCTGTTCTTGATGCAACTCAGCACCCTGTTGGCTTTCTTTGCCACCGCAGGACACTGCTCACTCATGTTAAGCATGAGTGAGCCCCTGGGGCCCCTTGTTGTCCACCAAGGCCCCCCAGGTCACTTTCCACAGAGCTGCTCCCCAACTGGATAGAACCAAGCCTGTGCTGCACTCCTGGATTATGTTCTCCCAGGTGCAAGACCTTAGATGTGTCTTTGTTGAGCTTCATAAGGTTCTTGCTAGCCCACTCTTGCAGCCTCTCCAGGTCTTCCTGCAGGGTGGCTGTCCCTTCCAAAGCGTCCACCTCCCCAGTCCGTTTGGTAACTTCATCAGAGCACACTTGATCCTGTCATCCAAATCACTTATGAAGATACTAAACAGCCTTGGGTCCAATATCAATCCCTGAGGTCCTCACTTGCAACAGGTTGCAAGTTTGAACAGGAGGTGTTTACCACCACCCTCTGGGTGCAGACTGTCAAACAGTTTTACGTGCACCACACAGGCCACGTGTCTAGATCTTAATTTGTCCAGATGCCTTTTTGGCTTAAGAATAGATTCTGAGAGCTACCAAATTTGTGATGGAGAATCTACTGGAGCTGAGAAAGTCAGCAGATGCTGTGCAAGGTAGAGAGATTAGCATACTGAAAGGTCACAGTGGTGCTATGGCAGCCTGACACACTGGTGTTATAGCAGACGTAAACACTATACTTAGCTTTAGTTTGCCTGTCTGTTGAGTTGGCACCCATTGCTGAGAAGTCTCAAGTCTTTAATATTTTGTGAATGTGCTCATTTTACTAAACTGCTAGTTCTCTCCTAAATTTCAGCATGTTGTTTATTCATGCATAGGCCTTGTAGTAGCTATGTCATCTGTATGTACAGTCTGGACCAAGACTTTCCTGCTAGAACATTTGTCACTGCAGAAAAGCATAGTGACTGGATGATTCTTTATGCTGTTCTGAGTTTTCTACCAAAGGCGTCTTTAAATATTTTTGGCAACAAATTTTAAAGAATTGATGTTTGCAGGCTGTTTGGAGCCTTTAAAGGAGCAAGTGACATACAGTTTTTAGTTGTGTTTGTTCTCTGTTTTTTTTTTTCCCTTAAAGGCAAAAGAAGTGTTTAAAGCATTGATTGCTAGGTAGGTAGAGCCCTGCATTAAAGATGAGGTACAAAAGAAAATTCCTACAGGGAAGATCAAATCTCATCAGCTAAAAACACTGACTTATTGACCAACCAGGTAGACTTTTGTGCCCTCAAAGAGATCTACAGGAAATCTATTGTCAGGTATTGTGAGCTGCACTTATTGGATTAAGCAGAATTACCTTCAGCTGGAAAGCGCTGCATACTGTGAAGTTCCAATAGCCCTTTTAAAAGCAAAGATTTTTGCTTCCAAGTACTTGAACAAGGGCTTTTTTTGTGACTTCATGTCTTTTAGTATATTAACATAGGAATCATGAGCTGAAAGGAGGAGGATCAAGGCAGCAAGTGATTTACCTTTCTAAAGATTTTGATTTGGTGTACTCACCATCTGTAAATTTGAAAAGGAAGCACTCAGTTCCTTGAAAAAGTGTAACTGCTGTGCCCTGGAGATGGTTTTATTAAGGAATGCTACCTATTAACCACGATCAGCTAAGATTTTAAAAATTTCATTATTAGGTTCTTTTACTTTATAATGTGAGAAAACAACATATTCAGACTGCAGAAAAAAATCAGTCTTGTGGTACTTGTTTTAGGTATAGTTATCAGTGGTGATTAAGGAAAGTATGTGATGAAACCTCTTGCATTTGAATGTTTAAGCAAATTAGCACAAGTCCCTTTCAATTAAAATAAAAAAGTCTGAGTTAGCCTGCAGTGCATATGCTTCAGTCTGCTTGCATCTCACCTTACCAACTCAAAAGTAAATTGCCTGTGTGTCTCTGAAAGGGCCTACTATGATAAGTTACCTCTTCTATACTTGAAGTCAAAGAAAGATTAAGTAATGAGCATCTCTGCAAACACCTTTATTATTTAAGAAGCAAAAGCACTAGGTATTTGAAGCTCTCAATATTGATTACTGTCGGCAGTATTGATTCCTGCAGACTTCATACTGGATAGTGTACTCAGACTCCAGATTTTGTGACCTGCCCTTACAAGTTTCCAGTACTCTGTATTGCTGTTTGTGGAGCAAAATTTGTTCTGCCTTTTCTGTGGTCATGAAAGGCTGCAGACATTCTGGACTTCAAAATTCAGGTTTTTAAAATCTATTTTGGTTTGCTCTCTCACCCATAGTCCTCTCCCAGAAAAATTACATACTGAGGAAAACTAAAAGTATTAACAGAGTTTGAAATGTAGTTGCATGTGTTCTTTGATTTAGAAATTTGTCGTTCCTTTTCCTGTCTTAACTTCTGGAGCTTAACCAGGCAGAGGTAACCCATCCTTCATGCTGAAACAGAGTGGAAAGGCCTCAGCCAAAGGGACCCGATAAGCTCTCTTCACCTCTATAGCTTGGTTACTAGAACTTGGTTCTTGGAGACCAAGAATGTAAGGGAATAGGGGAGTGATCAAGGACAGACTTGCTCCATAAAGTGGGGGAAATTTTCCCTTCTCATTGTGTTTGAGAGAAAGGACTATGCCCTTTCTACTCCCAAATAGAAAGAAGTGCTTCTGTGAAGACTGGCGATTGTTGAGACATAAACATACTGCTGTCAGTAGAATTTCCTCCTCTCTGCCATAACAGCTGCTTCACTAGCGTGCTGGCTTCTGTGGATCAAATTCTTAATTACCAAATTCTTCCCACTGTGGAAGGGTCATTAAAGAGCAGCACTAAAGCCTGGGCAGTAGTTTTCCCTAGTAGTTTCCCTAGTAGTTTCCGTGTGCCAGTGTGCCCACGTCTCCTTGTGTTACAGCCTGTTGTGGAGCTGTGACTCCTAGCTGGCGTTACTCTCACATAGTTCTGTGGTGTTCTCACTGTTCATCTAAAATGCCTCAGTGTAAGGGAATAAGTATTATCTATGTTAGAAACACAGGTAAAGTTCTGAAATGCAACTTTTATTTTTTGCCTCTGATGTCAGTATTTGAGATGTGTTTCCATTCAGATATAGAAGCCTTAAAGCAGTACACCCCAGAGAGAACAGTCTACATTTTTTTTCATGAAGCAGTATTATATTTCTTTATCTCTCTTTGTGGAATTGTTGGGTTATAGATTGAAACTTGGGTTTTGTGGGAAGATGGACACGGGAGGCACATCTTATTTCCGTTTCCAGGTAGAGTGCCTCGTGTTGATGGGCATTTGGTTAGAAAATGTGTATTGCAGCTCTTCATGATGGCAGCAAACTTCTTGTTCCTATTCTTCGTGGAAGAATGATGCAATTCCAATCAAAAGGCAATCTTACAAACTTCTGTATTATGCTACTTTATATGCAATGAGGTTGAACCCGTTTTGGAGTTCACAAAGCTGTTCCTTTGCTACCCTCTGCTGGATTTAAGGTTCATTAATGAAATAATAAATTTAAAAAAATTTTCTTTTTGTACAATGGCATTCATGTGAAGAATTATATCTAACATAGAATTGAAGGAAAAAAAAAGTCTGCCCCTCTCTTTTTTATTTAAAAAAAATATTATTCTGGTTTTATACTGCAGTCATTCTGAACATGGTCTAAAAGAAGACATTTCTAGTTTCTGGAGTTAGAAATGAAGTGAAGGAGTAATAGCAAGTTTTTGTGGACTCCAGTTGAAAGGTAGCTGTTGGTCCAGTGTCTAACCTGCTAGCTTTTCATTTCGCAGTGATGCCAGTGTGGTATACTGTTGAATGGACATGGAGCCCTTCTGAAGTGGAACACATTCTGTTTCAGAAAAATTTAGATTTGGAACCTTATTATCATTATGCCTCTTTAGCTTATGATTCAGTAGTCAGGTTCTTGATGCAGTTTTATTGAACTCATCAATATGCTACTGTTCGGTGTCTTTTATTTTAGTCTTTAGCTCCATTGCCCTGGAAAGATGATTTCTTGGGAAATAGCGAGCCATTTGTGTATTAAAATAGTGGGTTTTGTGGTGAGTCTAGCTGCCAAAAATCTGTGTGCAAAAGCTGTTTGACAAACGAGAGGAAAGGGGAATGTGGATTTTACCATGAGAAACAGAATTATTACTTTATAAATTTCAAACTCTTTGTCTTGTTC